TCTTTCTATTTTTGTTGGTTCAAAGTCTATTTTGTCAGAAACTTGGAGTGTAATCCCTGCTTTTTTCTGCTTTCTACTTGCTTGGTAAATTTTCCTCCATAAAGGAAAAATCACTTTATTCCAAAATCAAATATCCAGGGGAAAACTAATACACAAAAAGAACCCTACTGTGATGTATTGCGAAGACAAGAAAAGCCTTTAAGTTAAGTTTATCTGCTAACAATGCAGGAGCATCTTGTTTACATCACTATGTTTTTCCTACCAGGTAAAAGTGCCATCTACAAATCTTGGCAATTTGAAAAATAGCCATAACTACTCACTGTGGTTAAGTGCAAGTTAAGCACTACTAGTTTTTAAAAGCACTCAATTGTTCTGTGTTTAGTTTTTCATTTCTAGAATGACCTTTTTGGAAAAGGAGGGAGTAGCTTATAAAATAATAAGACTTATTAGTAAAAAGAAATCATGCAATTTACTTACAAAATGAGTATTGCTATACGAAAAGATGACTCCTTTCCACGTGTCACTTAAAATAAAAGTTTAACTGGCAAACTGAATCTTCCATTGTTACAGTCAAAATGTTATAATATCCACTTTTACATGTTGAGATCAATGAATAGTGCAGACATCTCACAACTCTTTACTTGAAATCCTAGTTAATTTGTGCAAGTTCCAAGCACAGTGGGGACAGTGTTGGTTGTGGTTTGAGAAGAATAAATTAGAAGATAAAAGCTCTAAAAAACATGGAAAAATATCTACACAGAAGAGTTAGATGCCAAAATTGTAGATGTTTCCATTATATTATAGGAACCATCGAGATTCATTTTGCCTAGGAGATTAGCAATAAAAATTTCTAAAAACTTATTTGACATACAATTTCTTTCTAATAAATAAAATGAACACCATTTTAAATTTGTATAAGTAATACAGAAAACATTTGATCTCTATTCAGATAAGTTTCACCTAATTGAAAAATTAATACTTCAGAATTGCAGCCTGTACCTTGTAAAGTGAAAATGTATATGTTGATTCTTCATTAAAGGAGTTGGATATTTGATTGTTCTTGTCATTGGGAAAGCATTTTGTTCCTTTAACAGAATTATTAGTACCATCACCCTATCTTATCAAGGATTTAAGGCAATTATACAATGGAACAATATGCAAGTATCAAAGGAAAGAGGCCATTAAGACCAAATGTATTTCAGGTTCAAAAAGACTTAAGTAGTTCATACAACAACAAAACTACATTGAAAGGTAAAATTTAATTCTGTGAGATTCTGTGGCCAATTTCCAATGATAAATTTTCTTATTGAGCACTGTTATGAACCCAAACATGCCTACATATACAAGTGCTAATCTTGAGAAGGAAATGATAAATGCTAAAGAGGAAAAGAAATACTAGACATCAATACTGAGATAATATCGTTTCAAGAAAACTTCAATACTTTTCTTGTTGTATTCATTCACCTAGTGATTTTTCTTTGAAGTTAAAAAAGGTTATCTAATTATTCAACAAGCATTTATTGACCCTTGGGGAGTGCAATATTTACAACAATGACAGGTATTTTTTTCTTTACGTTTATTCAATAGTTTAGCCATAACATATAACAACATTGGAGATATTTGAACAAACTGTTTATATCATGCTTATAGTGCTTCTGAACTCTCAAGAACTCACTCTACAGAGTAAATCTGTGTCATTCTGCAACCTTGTTTTCTCAGGATTTTGAAGGCTCTCAGGTTTTCCTTTATTCTAATCTACTGTGAGCATATCGGCAATCATGTAAGGCAATTAAAAAGTTATTTATACTCCGCTTACTTTACTTTAAACGGAAACTAAAATAGCTTCCTGATGGGAGTAGGTCAGAAATGGACTCTGACTGAGAGCCTAAGAAAAATCATTTCACTCAAAGTCAAATGACTCTAAAGTTCAAGCTTGTACAGGTTCAGTATAAACCATAAAGAATGTGCTGTGTTAGGCATTATGGGATACATCCTCCTAAAAGAAAAGCTGATGAAAAGAATACAAATTATATAAATGAAGATGATTTTTAATGATTATTTTTAAAAATTATTGTTATTAAATATAAATTTTTAAATTTATCCTTAAGTATTAAGTTGATGATGTGAAGTTTATGTCCATAGTAGCTGCAAGGTTGTCTGAATTATATAACATCTAGAATTGTGTAAAATATTTTACATTCTGTATGATATTTATTATACTAACATCATCATACCATTTACATTTTTTTATTTTTAATCAAACCAGTTTAAATTCAGCAGTGTTCCACTTCAATATATTATTTTTATGTGTGTTTAAGTTTTGTATATGGTGGGTTAACATTTGAAAATAATGCTGTGATTAACAAGAAACCTTTCAGCTTTTATAAATATTTTACCCATGTGATTTTTTTTCAAAGACTTTTAACATTCAACCATCATGCAGTGATTATAGACACAAAAATCAGCCTCCAAAAGCACATCAGACACTTAGTAAAATGAGTACATAAACTTAAAATTAAGTGGGCAACATGTCCAGAAAACAGATCAGATGGCAGCCATGACTAAACAAAAGCAAACTCTTCAGATGGTATCTCGGAAAACCTAAAGTTTAAATGCCCAGAGTGGAAGATGGCAATTCTGTGCCTTCCAACACAATACTACACCATTTTTAACAATTAACAATGTTTGAGAGATGAATGGCCTTGACTTAATCATATTATTAATTTTGCAAGTCTAGTTCAACTAAAAATGAGAAAAAGTCACTTAAGAAAAGATATCCCAGACTAATTTACCAAAACCTTAAGAATAATTTTTATAGCCTTTATATCAAAACAACCATTCATGGTGTTATTCAATCCTGGAAATGGCTCCACAATATACTGACTCATTTCTTGCAGCATTTTGGTAAAATGGATGGATGAATGGTTTTTGTAGTCTCATAAATATAATTTTCTTTCAAATCATATTATCTTATTCTCTAATAAAATTGCATTTATACACACACTAAAAGGATGTTATGTAGATTATAAACAATACAATGCCAGGGACCAGTGTTTTTAAATTTTATTGTTTTTATATAGACATGATATATACATTGTTTTCAAATATATATATATATATAAATAAATCCCATAAGACCCAATGAAATTCAAATAAATGTTTGTTGATTGAATAATCCCTGTGTACAGATATTGCATGTAATAGGGTCATTTTTCATGCTTATGTTAAACAAATCCAAAGCTTCCTCTGCTCAAGCAGTGTGTCCATTGGCATGAGATAGAAGTCTAACAACTTGCACATAGTAGGTCTTCAGTAAACAAACAATATAAATAAATGGTTAAGAAAGGAAGGAGGAAGAAAGATGAAGAAAAATTCTTTCTAATTTAAGTCAAAACCCAATACTAACTCCTGATTCTTGTGGGTATTCTAACTGGTTTATTATGTTGCTTCTTCTCAATTTTTATAACCTCTTTCATCCCCAGTATTAATTCCCCACTTCTCTGTACCTTCTGTGACACAGGAAGCTGACTCCTCTGGATTGCATCACTTGGGTTCTCTTCCAGCCTGGCTTCTAGGTGGGTTCCACTGATAGTAGCCAGAGGCAAGAGAGTGGGAGAAGAGAGAGCTCAGAGCATTTCCTACTATTCTCTCCCTTCTCTGGTGCAGTTACTCTGGCTACAGCTGCATTCCTCTAATCCTACTTCTCTGCTGGACAGCTCCTGCTTTCCCTGGTTTCTGGAAAGACTACTTTCTCTGCTGGTCTCTTAACTACCAGAAGATTGCTGCTATTGCTAGTCTCTGGGTAGCTCAATGACTTGATCAGCTGCATTTGACCTTCAGTAACCTTCAGTAATTAGTTTCAGCCTGGAAGTCTTTTTATTTAAGCTATCGGGTTAAGTTATTATTCCTGCTGAGACTTTGACTGATACAGTAGTAAGTCACCCATCTCGGTTTCAGGTCATTTAATGATACCTAATCCATTACCAACTGATATGATCATTTTGAGCCACACTCTGAATTTTAAAAATCAAGACTTAACCCTTAGAGTTGAACAAATTGCATTCTTATCTTGAGAATTCATGTGCTTTACTTTCTTTATTGTTGTAGAGAACTATGGAGAAAAATCTAGAATACTGTGTTGCTGTAATATCCCTAAGGTCTTCTTGTCATCTTAACTGCTATTTCTTATTTTTTCTGAATGAAGGTAGATAATAGATTTACACATGATAATGATATACAATAAATATTTAGAGAGAATACTTATTGCCAGGCATTTTCAGACATGCATATATCATGAAAATATCTGAACAAATATAACAATTATATTTACTACAAATGCTAAAGCTATATTAAATAACTTTAATATACCTAGGTAAGTAGAGCACTTTAACTGATAGCTCTTTAAATCCAGCTGTTGGAAATGCAGGAGGGTATAGGTGACAATAACATTTTAACATCATTAAACTACAAAATAGACAGATTAATTTCTTTTTACCTTTTCATCAATATTTATATTATTTATAACTAAGTCTACATCATCAGTAACTTTTAGAATGTGAAAGTTTTATTTTCTATTATAAAACTGAAATAGCCATTCATGTTTGAAAAAAAATCACATAATTAATTATGCTGCTAAAAATCAGCACCACAAACAGGAAATAAATGAGTAAAATATAACGTTTCATTTCCATTTGACAGCTTCATATAGCAAATTAAATTTCCTCCTATGCTAACTATACCTTGCCTATCTCTGAAACCTCTTTTTCAATCTATTTTTTCATAGATTTAAAATCTTCCTTTGATGGTTTTTGGTAACATGTCATTTTGTTTTTAGCAATTGTCACAATAATGCTATGTAGTAAAACACCTCCAGACTCCATGGTTTAAACAGTAATCATTTATCCTTTCAGATCTGCAGGTCAGGCAGTGTTTGGTGGATCCAGGTTGTGCTGGGCTAGGTGGCTCTGCTTCGTCTGTATCTCTGTGTAGGCTGGAGTGACCATGCTCCATATCTTTGTCATTCTTCTTCAACCACTGAGCAGTGATCTGTATTTTTTTTCCAGTGGATGGCAGAGGCACAAAGGGAAAGCAGAAATATGCTTAACATTTAGGCTCAGAACTGACACATTTTCACTTGAATCACATTGGATTGATCAGAGCAAATTACTTGACCAAAATTATGAAAAAGAGGTAAGGAAATGTACTCTGCTCTGTCAATAGGAAACACTGCAAATGGCATGGAGGTAGAAAGGAGTGAACAATTGGGCTTAATTCGTTTCTAGTACCTTTTTCCCTGTCTTATTTGCAATCTGTCTCTTAATCTAATTTCCCTAAAACCCCTCCTCCTACATTCATCAAAAAGATTTCCATCTGTTAGTAAATCATTTTATGAAAGTATGACTTAAAATATTTTCTTTCCAAGTTCCAATTTATTGTTTAAACAGTAACTACTAGAGGAAAGTTTAACCCTATCATTTAAAGGTGATAGCATAATGCTTATTCAATGTAATATATTGAAATTTTAAGTGTAGAATACAGTACTTTTGTATTGGAAGATAAGTGATTAAGTAAATTACATAATCTTGTATAATCGATCATGAGAAGTCTTTTTGTTTTACAAAGATTTACATTGGCAACCTGTATTATTCCAGTAGCAATGACCCTACAAACATATTTTAATAGCTGATTTTAAGGTTTAAATGAATTTTTTACAGTGCAATTATTACAAATAAAAATGAAAGAGACATTTCTGAAGTATCTACTCCATCTCAGGAACAGAATAATGCCATATATTTGATATTATAAATTATACACACACACATACACACACAGGCATTGTAACAACCGAGAGATGAAGGTATTATATCTCTACTTTAGAAATGAGGATATTGGGGATTAGAGAATCCCATAAATCACAAACCTAGTAAAACAGTGGCCCAACAAATAAAGTTTCCAGGCTAAATGGTATATTTATGAACAAAAAGGATACTATATATAGATCACATAATATTTTGGAAAGAGCTCTGGACTTTGTATCTGAAGTCACAGATTCACGTTTTGAATGCCCTGTTTGCTGTAGGAACATGGGTAGTCAGAACCTTTTTTTGTAATAGTACTAGTTCTGAGGATTGACTGGGGAAAGATGTCATTTATCACCAAACAAGTACATAACCAGTTTATAGATGTACATGAAATTTGAGTGTATGGACCAAACTATCACTTCTAATACTGACAAAGTTTATAATAAAGAAATGGTTTTAATCTGCTAACTACTCCGTCAGTCTAGACTTTGAATCAGTCTGGTCTACACAAGAGAAACTTAGCTCTACATAGCAGACAAACTTCTCCAGCTGACTGCCTCCACAAGACCAGCATGCAGCAAGTGAAAGAATATCAATACCTCAGTCTCTGTCCCTACAAAGCAATGAGGAGAGGACAGGGAAAATATTCTTTCCTCAAATATAAAGAGGATTGATATTTTAGAGAGGACAGGACAATATTATACATATACACATCAATGTACACACACAGAAACATACATAATGATTCTATTTCCAGTGAAGCTCTGTGTACTTTTTCCCTCAAAATCCTACAGAACATTTCTGTCATTTACACCTGTAAGAGTCTTGATAAAACCCAAGTGAGAAAAGACTTTAAAAAAATAAAAACACTTTCAAACTTTACAAATTTCTTTATAAGTGCTGGGAATCATTATTACTTACAAAACAGCAGTTTGTGAATTGAAGGTTTATATGCTATTTGGTATATTCCTTTTTCACAAAGCTCAATAAGACTTCTTTTAAAATTTAACATAGGCTATCAAAAATTAATATTGCTGGTGCTAACATAGCTAGAAAGAAATTAACATTTTAGGGGGAACCTACTTGGAGACAGGGAGATTTGACATGTGCTGTTCACTCATGGCCAACCAGTTGGTTAGCTGTTAGAGAAATCTGTGACTCACAAAACTTACATAAGTGCCCAACTTATATTAAGAATGTGCATAAAATCTGGAACTTTTAAATTAGAATAATTCTGTGCTTTTTAAAAAATTGTGTTTGAATAGATTAGATATTTTCTGCAATGAATATTCTGTGCCAACTATCTCTATTCATTTTAAAACATTTTAAAATACTGATACCTTTTAAAGTTTAGACTCTATAAAAATATTAAACTAAATAATTACTATTGTTTATAATATATTTTGGCTCTTGAATGACTTTAATAATTAACTGCCATTTAAGTTAATCCATCCTGGCATCAGAAATGCATAAAAATGCATTAGAAATGCATAAAAGTGGTGGTATAAATTGCAGTGTCACACTTGGGAAATCCCTAGTGGAATTGTATAATGTGTAGAGAAATGATGGATTTCACTTATTATCTTCAGTTTTCAGCTGCATCTTTAGTTATATCACTTAAAGTATTACATATTGATGTATTAGGCACTGATCAGATATGTATATTATCTCTAATCGCCACAGCCACCTTGCAAGGTAGCTACTCTTATTCCCGTGTTATAAACAACTAAACTAAACCTTTAGGAAGTTAAGTGAGTAGTCCAAGGCCTCAGGGCTAATGAGTAATAGAGCTGAGATTAGACCTCAAGTAGTTTTCCCTCACTCCAACATCTGCCACTATATTACATCATGGCATCTCTCTTAAAAAATGAAATTACAATGAAAATATTACTTAAGAGGAAGTTAATAAAAACATGAAAATATATTTTAACATACTCATATTAAGTAGCCTATATTGCAACAAGTTTACTTTACCAGAATTAGTCCCTCCCTCAGGACAGCACAGCTCATACCAAGACAGAGCACCTCAGTGTATGACTTCTCCCTCAGAGCGAAATGAAAGGCAGGAGCATGCATCCAGTGTTCCTGGCCTTTCAGAGTGCTATCTGAGAGTCCAGTTTATGTTTCACCTTACCCAGAGCCCTGATGAAACCTGCATATTTTGGATGCCTATGAGTAGTTAAGAATAAAGGGAAGGTGCAGGTAGCTGGTTGAAGCTGGTATGGTTCTGTGAATTTGGGAGACAGTGAGTGAATTGGGAGAGGAGTATAGCATACTTTCAGTGTCCTAGCACAAGGAAGAGCAGTCAGAAACCAGTGAGAACAAGAGACTATGGGCAAAAGAGAGAGAGAGAGAGAGAGAGACCAATAAATCTCTTTAATTAAGTCACACATGAGTCCAAAGAAAAGGTTTAAAAGACTTCCAAAATCTCTTGTAAGGCTGGGCATTGAAGGTCCTTCCCTCTAGAAGCCAGTTCATAATGACTAGAAGTGGCTGTATCTTCAAATGCAAAAATACCAATGCAAAATTCCAATAAACACAAAGACCGAGGAAAACATGACATAATAAAATGAATAAAATAAATCTTCAGTAACTGACACTAAAGAAATGGAGATCTCTTACCTGGCAAAGAATTTAAAATAATCATCTGAAAGGAGTTCAGTAAGTTATAAGAGAACACAAACAAACAAATAAATAAAATCAGGAAAATTATATGTAAGCAAAATGAAAATATCAGCAAAGAGATAGAGACTATAAAAAGAAACAAATTCTGGAGCTTAAGAAAACAATAACTGAATAAAAAATTCATTCAAGGGGTTCAGCAATAGACTTGATCAAGAAGAAGAATGAATCAATGAACTTAAAAACAAGTCGTCTAAAATTACCCAGTCAGAGAAACAAAAGTAAAAAATAAAAAGAGTTAAGAAAGTCTAAATAACAATGGGACATCATGAAGAGAACCAATATAGGCATTAGGAGGACCTCAGAAGGAGAAGAGTGACAGAAAGTTTCAGAAAGATTGTTTATAGAAACAATGTAAAAAAACTCACAAATCTGAAAAGAGAAATGGACATCTGCATCCAAGAAGTGCAAATTATCCCAAATAAAATAAATTTGAAAACTCTATACCAAGACACCCTATAATCAAGTTATACCAACTGAATAACTGAGAATATTTGGAAAGCAATAAGTAAGAGGAAACTAGTGACATACAAAAGAGCTCACAATAAGACTATCAGCCAATTTCTCAGCAGAAACCTTGCAGGCCAGGAGGGAGACAGATTATATATTCAAAGTGCTGAAAAAAAAAAAAAAAAATGACCTGAACAGCTCCAGGCTCCAGCTCCCAGCATGAGGGACAGAGAAGATGGGTGATTTCTGCATTTTCAACTGAGGTACCGGGTTCATCTCACTGGAGCATGTCAGACAGTCCCTGCTGGTCAGCGGGTGCAGCCTGACCAGCAAGAGCTGAAGCAGGGCAAGGCATCGCCTCACCTGGGAAGCACAAGGGGGAAGGGAATTGCTTTTCCTAGCCAAAGGAAACTGAGACACACAACACCTGGAAAATCGGGTAACTCCCACCCTAATACTGCGCTTTACCAAGGGTCTTAGCAACCAGCACACCAGGAGATTATACCCCACACCTGGCCAGAAGGCTCCCACATCCACGGAGCCTCCCTCATTGCTAGGACAGCACTCTGACATCTAACTGCAAGGCAGCAGCGAGGCTGGGGAAGGGCACCCACCATTGCTGAGGCTTAAGTAGGTAAACAAAGCTGCCAGGGAGCTGGAATTGGGTGGAGCCTACCACAGCTCAAGGAGGTCTGCCTGCCTCTGTAGACTCCTCCTCTGGGGACAGGGCATAACTAAAAAAAAAGCAGCAGAAACCTCGGCAGAGGTAAATGACCCTGTCTGACAGCTTTGAAGAGAGCAGTGGATCTCCCAGCACAGAGGTAAGATCTGAGAATGGACAGACTGGCTGCTCAAGTGGGTCCCTGACCCCTAAGTAGCCTAACTGGAGATATCCTCCACTTGGTGCAGACCGATACCTCACACCTCACACGGTGGGGTACACCCCTGAGATGAAGCTTCCAGAACAAGAATCAGACAGCAACACTCGCTGTTCAGCAATATTCTATCTTCTGCAGCCTCCGCTGCTGATACCCAGGCAAACAGGGTCTGGAGTGGACCAGCAAAATACCCAGCTAATATCATAACGACAGGATCAAGTTCACATATAACAAT